ACCCCAGTGAGGGATTGATGAATGTTCTGAAGAAAATTTATGAGGACGGAGACGACGACATGAAGCGAACCATCAATAAAGCCTGGGTGCAGTCCAGGGAGAAGCAGGCCAAGGGGGACACGGAGTTTTGAGGCTGGAAGCCCCCTTGGGACTGACGGGGAAGGGCCGCCGTCCGGCGGGGACGCGCGGGTGAGCTGCACGGGGCAGTGTAACCGGTAACTGCAGAGCCGTCCTCTGAGTCAAGGCAGTGAATTCTCCTCCTGGAGGGTTTATTTAAATAAAATACACTTATTAACCCCTTCCTCTAAAGATGGTTTCATTGGTAAACTGGTCATTTGTCCAAGAAGGAGTGACGCTGCGTTCGCACGGGAAATGTGGAGAAGCCAGTCTTGCCCGTGAAAATGCCGTGTAGTGTTCCCGTTCGGCTGCGAGGTAGAAAAGTTACTGCTGCTTAGGTTCCTGACATCAGTTCTCACCAGTGTAAGAATAAGTAAAAAAAGTAAATAAAACCTGAATTTTTGCATAAAATGCACATTTGCATCTGTGCTTCCAGGTTGCTGTAGAGACGTCCATCTCTTCTGTATTAGCAGCCTAAGCGACGCACGCCCCTGCCTTACGGCGCCCTGAGGGCCAGTGAGGTGTTCTCCCCCGGGTGTAAATACGTTTGCTGACGGAGAAATTGAAACCAGATCTGATCTTGACGAGAACCAGCATCTCCGTCTAGTACCAATTAGTGAGTGTTGCCCTGGGTCTGACAGCTTACAAAACAAAGCAGTAACCACCGGCCAAAACAAATACAAAAATTCATCTTTTCCTGTTTTCAGTAAAGTCAGGTTTTTATTTGGCGACACAGCTTCACTGTCAGTCTATCCAGGAACAGTGAGGCTTCGGGGGGATGGCTCGCTTTAGAGGGGATCACTGACCCTAAAACAGGAAGGGGCGCGAGATGCCCGTCGTCCCCACCCCGGGTCGTGATGCAGGGTAAACACACAGAGGAAAGGCCCGGGAGGATTAACCGAAACCGCTGTGGCGAGGATGCGGCACATGTGGTCGAGTCGAATCGGGCAGGTAGCGTTCAGAACGAACGGCTAGCCAGTGTGAGGGACAGTCGGTAGTGCTGCTGAGCACACTGTTAACCCTCGGTGACTAAAGCTGGGGTGCGGACACGTGATGCACAGACCGCTGGCACGGGACAGAGGGGGCCCGATGCAGAAGTGTTTATTGAGCCCACTTTATTGCACTTCACAGGTATGTTTTTTACAAATTGAAGGGAAGACCCTCCACCAGCAAAAAGATTACAACTCGCCTTATTGCGATAGGCACTTTATTTCGGTGGGCTGGAACCCAACCTGCAGTATCTCCAAGGTATGCCTGGGATAGCATTTCAGAACAAGTAGAGGTGAGCTTTTGTTGAAATAACCAAAAGTAATAATATATGCATTGCAAACAGATGAAAGATCTAAATATAAAAATGAAGCCATGTGAGCTCTAGAAGACATGAATAGAACTCCATTATGACCTGAGGGAGGGAAACCTACACTACATGACTCGGAAACGAGAAATAATGAGGCTAAATAAACATTGGTTAATTCCAACTATGTAATAAACGTTTACACGGCCAAAAAAACCCACACACATAAGAAAAGACACATAGGATTCCAAAATTCAGAAGAGTTCACAGAGAAAGAAATATAAATGGATTTTAATGTGAAAAGATGCTTACCTTGTTTAGAAGAGAAGTAGAAAACTTTACCTTTCATTGGGAAAACCAGAAGTGTGGCATGCTGACGGTTGAGGGTCGGGGGATTCACACATGGGAGTGGGGGGAAGAGAAAGAGGGTTAGAACTGGTCGCCACCGCCGGAGTCACAGGAGCATTGACCATCTGAGTCACAGCTCCTCTGGGCTCCTTCCCAGGAGACGATAACACTGACCGAGATTGGGAACGGTATTTGTGGAAGATCGGAACCACCCAAACGTCCGTTAGTGGAGGACTGGCCAGGTGAACTAGGATGCGTCTGCATGGGGGCACTCACGGTCACAAACGGGTGAAGAGCGCCGAGTCCTGGTGTAGCGAGGGAGTGGTCGCCAGGACACAGACGGTGGGGACGCGAAGTGCAGAGCACCGTTCCCGGTGCACTGAACCGCCTTGTGTTAGATCGGGTGGGCGTGTGCGTGCACTCACATACAGGTGTTTGCTTGTATTTCACAAAGAAACTGAAAGGGTAAATCCAAACTAATACGAACGGTTACAATGGGAAGGAAGGGCAGAGTGGGAGCGGTCTTTCAGTGAATGTACCTTTTTCTTAAGTTTCGACTGGAGAACCATCTGAAATTTAATTTAGAAGCTAATTTAAAGTAACCCTAACATTTGAAAACATGCCAAGTTATAAATGTGCTTCTTTCAAGTGACTTTAGAACACGGCACGTTGACTGTCCATTGGCCAGTGAGATGCTGGAACTATTGTAGGTTGATGTGATCAGAAGCTAAGATTTTTACAAATATAAAAAAACTTACTGTTTTTGTCTGGGAAAGATACCCATTTCTTAACAAGTCCAACCAAAAGGGCCTAAACGCGGGAAGCAACAACAGCCCAGAACTCAGTACCGCTGAGCGGCACCCGTGGCGCTCAGATGTGGTCCCCACACACCGGTTCCTACTCAGAGCACCGGGGACGCTGGGGGAAAAGAGTCGTCGTGGGGGGCAGGGGACACAAAAGGAAGCCTGGGTTCTGTGCGTCAGAACGCGAGGAGAGGTCCAGTCCCCTGCGTCACGGCAACAGGACGAAGGGCCCAGCAGCGGAGGATCGGGGCAGTGGGTTAACATGAGCCTCAAAAAGATGTCCGGAGTGGGTCAAAACAGAAAATCTACAAGTTCACGGTAGTGAGAAATTATTGCCTTTGGAAACTGCTGGAGCACCGTTTACTCGGAAAGTTGGTAGAAAACCATGCATTTATCTAGTCTTCATAGTAAGAAATCTATTTCAGAGTAATAAATTGTTGATAAGGGGAAGTTCTTTAATGACAGATTTTCTGCATTGATGCAGAAAAACGGGTGGAATTTAGAACATCACCGTTGCAGTCCTTAACGACAGAGGGTGGTTCATAGACGGTGAACTTCAAGTTCAGGGGCCAGGCTGAGCTCCCGAGGTGACGGATCAACCATCTCTAGAAGTGGGACAGCGGGCACATGCCTTCGCTGTGGTGCGGAAGGACACAGCATCCTGTCAAAGCTCACTTCTAAACAGTTGGACCTGCGGTCAGTCAAGCCTTTGGATGGGACAGCCAGTTTTACAAGGAGAGGGGAGTGAGTTAAAGGACACGTGGGGAGAACCAAACAGCCAGATGCTGCTGGGTCCCTCCCACAAGAGACACTCAAGGAAGAGACGAAGCAGCCCAACACGGGTCGTGCTCGAGTCCTGACCCAACAGAGGGACCGGTCGGGCGGTGTCTCAGCCGGGGACGCCCAAGTCAGCAAATGGGAAGTTCCAGTTCTGATTTGATTGACACTAGCTTCCAGCTGGGATCAGCGAGTCCTCTGGTTGTAAGCTGCAGTATGAATTTTAGAAATGAATCCAGGGTGTATCATGATAACTACCTCCCATTACTTCACTGAGTTCCTGGCTGCTCTCCTGCTGCTGCACGACGGTCTGCCCCTTCCAGATGGAGGACACAGGCCCCTCGGACATCGCACGACTGAAACCCGGACTCTGAGATGTCGCCCAGACCCATTCTCCTCACCGCCCCTCCAACCCCGTTATCTTCTAGTGGGGGGTTGCTCTGTACCCCCTGTCTAGTCACCCTCACCAGGAACCCAAAGAGCCCCCTTTTCCTTTTTTTAAATTTACATTTTTTTTTAATTTAGAGAAGGAAGAAGAGGGAAAAACATGAATCAGTTGCCTCTTGCACAGCCCCAACTGGGAACTGGCCTGCAGCTGAGGCATGTGCCCTGACTGGGAATCGAACCAGCGACCTTTTGGTTTGCAGGCCAGCGCTCAGTCCCCTGAGCCCCACTATTCAGGGCCAGAGAGCCCTTTTACCTCTTAGATATAATCAGTCTCTAGGTCTTGCCCAATTTTCTTTCCTAAATACTTACATTTCTCCTATGATCTCCTTTGCTAACATCGCTACCTTAGTTCAGGTCTACCTGGACAATTAAGATCCTCCTAACTGGTTATCTTGCTTGTAGCCTTTTCCGTTTTTGGCTGTGTACCACCCATCCATCAGTTACCTGTAGGGCACGCTGGTGATGTCATTCCTTTGCTTAAAACTGGGCAGTCGCTGTGCTTAAATCAGGCCTCGGCTCCTTGCCATCCGTGACGTCTTCTGTGGTTCGGCCCTGGTCTCGTGCTCTGTGTCCCTGATGCGCTGAAAGAACCCCAGTTCCACTGTCTGGTGTCCTGACGCCTCTGCTGCCACCGTCCTGTCTGCACCGAGTCCCTTCGCTGGCCGCCTGGCGCACGTGCAGGCGTCGGCCCCGGAATGCCTCCCGGGTGCTAGGTGGGTGCCGCCCCACCCCGTGCACGCTCGTGTCCCTGCACCGCTCACGCTGCTCCTGCATGACACAGCCTTTGCTACCCCGCCTCGTTCTGCTGCAGGCGACACAAACACGAAGACAGAGACTTGACTACGCAACACAACTGTTCCTCTTCGGATGGGTTTTTCCGGGGCTCTGCTCTAAGGGCCCCCGGAGACGGAACAAGAAAATGGGTTCCACCGTTTGTTTGCCGTCACGCACAGAAGTTGAGGGTCAGGCAATCAGACGTCAGCTCTCCCTCCCCACGTCCCGTTTCTCTAACAAGGAACCCACAGGAGAGCGGGCTGGGGGGCCAGCGAGGCCAGCCCAGCGCTCCGGGTGCGCCAGAGATGCGCTGGCTCTGCGCCAGAGAGCTGGGTTTACGGCACCCCAGATCCTGCGTTAGCAGAGAATGCCCCTAAGTGCAGGAACCCTGAAAGGCTGCTGGAAGACGAACCTCGAAGGAAAAGGCAAGCATACAGAGCCTGTTTTCACAGAAGGTATTTTTATTACTCTGCACCATGCATGAGAACAGTGTATTTAATGTAGTCCAACAGGAAAGAGAATTCGCTAACAGGATGGACCATCCAAATGTCTTCATTGAAAGTTTAAAAGTAACGGCATCAGGCAGATAGATTCCCATACTGGATGGGAAAAGGGTTTTTGTCTTAGAACGAAGTCTTTTGTCACAGCCGGTTTCCCTGGACGCCCCACGGGCTCTGAGCGGGTCACCATATCGCGCGCTGGACCCCGGACATCTGTCCGTGGTCGGCCAGGTGACGGAAGACAATTCGACTGAGCCTCCAGCGCCGCTTCACTCCACGTGGCCGGGACGTCATCACGCACCGGTTCCTGATCCGCACGGGGCAGCTGTCCCGGGGAAGGGCAGCGATCTCTTCGTCGGCCACGTCCTGAGGGAAGCCACAGCACTGTTAGGTCACGCGAACGCACTGAGTCTAGATGCTGACTGACTGAGGTCAGTGACTGGAGCAGGAGGGCGACAGGCTGGACCCACCGACGCAGCCCGAGTGGCCAAGGAGCCTTGGCCACGGTCGGGAACCTCACCTCAAAGTAGACACGGACCAGAAAAGTGGCAAATGTTTGACGTGGTCCCCATGTGATTTTTAAAGACTCAACTGAAGGTTAACAGAGGTACACGAGAGTCCACGGGCTGTAAGGGTACAGCTCGTAACCACAGACAACACGCCCGTGCAACCAGAACTAGACTGGGAAACAGCGTCACCGGCGCCCAGGCTGTACCGGCGCCGCCTCTCCAGTCACTGCCTCCCGGCTAACAGCCACCCCGGGTGCTGCCACCCCAGACTAGTTCTTGTCTTGAATGTTGTATCAATGTAAACACAGAGTGTGCATTTTCCACTCACCGTTCGGTTTCTTCCATTCAACAATGTGTTTATGAGGTTTATCCATTCTGCTGCCTGTGTCACAGTTGGGTCACTCTCATTGGTGGAAACTTACCCATTCTCCAGTGGGTGGACATCTGGGTATTTGAGCTATTATTTGTAGGGCTGCTAGCAGATCCTAGTGTGAGTCACGTGGGAAATGTGTGAACGCATTTGTTGTCGTCCCCATGAGATTTTCCCCAGCCTTACTGAGAGGCAATTGACACACACACTGTGTGAGCTCACCGTGTGCAGCATGGTGACTCGGTGCGTGTGTGGGCTCGGTGTGTGTGTGTGGGCTCGGTGTGTGTGTGTGGGCTCGGTGCGTGTGTGGGCTCGGTGCGTGTGCACCGTGGAACAATGACCACAGTGAGGTTCCACCACCTCACGTAATTACCTTTCTCATGTGGTGAGAACAGTTAAAACTCACTCTCTCAGTAACTCTGAGGTATACAATGCGGTGCTGGTACTACAGTCACCCCGCCCGCCGTACCTTAGGTCCCCAGAACTCACTCATAACTAGACGTCTGTCCCCTCGGACCAGCATCTCCCTTTGCCCCCCTCCCGGCCTCTGCTGAGCGCCGTTCTCCTGTCTCCGTGATTCTGCTTGTGTAGCTTCTTCATACGGGGGAGGTCACAGTATCTGCCACTCTGTGTCACTTACTGCACTTAGCGTAACTGCCCTCCAGGTGCATCCATGTCCCTGAGAAAACCAGAGGTCCCTCTTTGGGAGCGCAGTGCCACACTCACTCGTGACACCTGGGCCACTTCCACGGCTTCGCTGTTGTGCACGAGGCTGCAGTGAACTTCGGGCACACGCGTCTCCTCGCTGCTGGTGACTCCGTCTCCTTCAGGTGCACACTTGACTTGGGAGTGCTGGGTCGCACGTGGTAGCTTAATTTTTTGAGGAGCTTGCATACTGTTTTCCACAGTGGCTGTGTCAGTTTACATTCCTACCAATAATGTGTCCATTCTCCATTTATGTCTTTGGAAAAATGTCTGTTTAGGTTCTCCGCCCACGTGGGGAGACTACCTTTTAAGTTTATAGTTAACACAGTATTGTATTGGTTTTAGGGTCACAACAGTGATTTGATACGTACTTACAATGTGATCACCACAGTGAAGTCTAGTACTGTCTGTCGCCACGTCAGGCTACTATAATAGTACTGACCACGTTACCTACGCCTCTGCCCATTTTGAAACTGGATTTCTTTTTGGAATTTTTTTTTTTTTTTGCTATCGAGTTGTGTGAGTTCCTATATTCTTGGACATGAACGCCTCATCAGGTGTGTGGTTGGCAAATACCTTCTCCCACTCGCTAGGCTGCCTTTTCACGTCGCTCCTTCGTGGCGCAGAGGCTCTAGTTTGATGCGGTCCCACCGGTTCATTTCAGCTGCTGTTGCTCACACTGTTGGCCTCACACCTGGAAAGTGTTGGTGATCACACTGTTGGTGCTCACACAGTTGGCGTCACACCTGGAAACTGTTGCCAAGATCAATGTGAAAGCTTTTTTCTTATGTTTTTTCCTAGGAGTTAGGCATTTTCAGGTGTTACTTTTAAGTCTTTAACCCGTTTCAAATTCCTTTCTGTGAGTAGTGTAAGGGTCCAATTTCATTCTTTTCATAGGAATATCCAGTTTCCCTAACACCATGGAATGAAGAGACCACCCTTTCCCCTACTGAGTATTTTCAGCTCCCCCGTCAAATATTTACTGGTCCTTCATGTGGGAGTTTGTTTCCGGACTCGGTCCTGCCCCGTCGGCCCGCAGGTGTTTTCTGTGCCAGTACTGTGCTACTTGGACTCGTACAGCCCCGTGGTAGGGCTGGAAATCAGGAAGGGCGATGCCTCCTGCCTTGCTCTTTCTCGTGACCGCTTTGGCGATTTGGGGTCTTCTGACGTTCCAAGTGAATTTTAGGGGTACTTTGTTATTTATTATTTTTGAGAAATGCCATTGGAATTTTGATAGGGACTGCACGGAACCTGTAGATGGGTTAGCGTAGTACTGCCATTTTAACAGGATTAATTCTTCTGACCCATGAACACAGGATATCTTTTTATTTAGGTCTTCTTCAATTTCTTTCACCATTTTATTACAGTTTTCAGTGTATAGATCTTTTACCTTAAATTTATTTCTGGTATTTCACTGTTTTCTTTTTTTTTTTTTAATCCTCACCTGAGAGTGTTTATTGATTTTAGAGAGAAAGGAATGGAGACAGAGAGACAGAAACATTGGTTGGTTGCCTCCCACACATGCCCCAACTGGGGATGAAACCCACAACTCTATAAGTATGTGCCCTGATCAGGGATTGAACCTGCAACCTGTGGTGTATGGGATAACTGTTTTCTGTATTTCTTTTTCACGTAGTTTGTGGTTAGTATATAGAAATGCATCTGAATTCTTTATGCTGATTTTGTATCCTGCAACTTTACTGAACCCACTGATTAGTTTTAACAGTTTTTTGGTGGAGTCTTTGGGATATAAGATCACATCATCTGCAAACAAAGACAATTTTACTTCTTCCTTTTGATTGGTATGCCTTTTTCTTTTCTGTCGTCCCCGACTGCTCTGGCTAGGACTCCCAGTACTATGCTGAGTAGGAGTGGCGATGGGGGGCACCCTAACCTCGTTCCTGGTCCTAGGGGAAAAGCTCTCAGCCTTCCACAATTGAGTCTATCATCTGTGGGTTTAAGATGCCGAGGTGTGTTCCTTCCATACCCAATTCGTTGAGTTTTTCAGATGACTGGGTGTTGAATTTTGTCTGATGCTTTTTCTGTATCTGTTAAGATCATATAATTTTTATCTTTGGTTCTGTGTACTAATGTGGTGTATCATTTATTCCTCTGAGTGTTGAACCATCCTTGAATCCCAGGGATGAATCCAACTTGCTCATGGTGTATGATCCTCTTACTGTGCTGTTGCATGTTTTGCTGGTATTTTCCTGAGAACGTCTGCACTATATGCATCAGGAATACTGGCCCGTGGTTTTCCGGTCCTGCAGTGTCCTCACCTGGCTTCGGTGTCTGGGTAACAACGCCTGCCTGAGAAGACGAATGTGGGAATGGCCCCTCCTCTTCAGTACGCCGGAAGGGTGGGAGGAGGTTTGGTGTTCATCCTTCTTCAAGTGCGTGTCAGGTTGTTATGCTTCTAAGAATTCATTCATTTCTTAGGTTACCCAGCGTGTCGGCATACAGCTGTGTGTATCACTCTCTGTGATCGTTATGTCCGTGGCACATAAAGTTGTCGTGTGTTCTCTTTCGTTCTGATTTTGTTTATTCGGGTGCTCTCCTCTCTCCTTTGTTAGTCCAGCAAAAGGTTTGTCAATTTTGTTTTAATCTTTTCGACAAACCAGCCTGTAGTTACATAGATCTTTAGTGTTTGCCTGGTCTCTATTTCACTTACTTCTGCTCCTTATTTCCTTTCTTCTGCCAACTTTGGGCTTAGTTTGCTCTTCTTTTTCTGTCTCCAAGAGGTATGTAGTTGGGTTATTTCCCACAGGATTTTGAGTCATGCAAGTGTGAAACTGCTGGGCAGAGGCAGCAGCAGGAGAACTGGGGCGGAGAGGAGGCGGCAGAGGGAGGCGGGGAGGGCGGGACCCCGCGCAGCCTGGGCACCGGTGGCAGGGACGCTGACTGACGCAGAGGCGGACCGAGTGGGCGGGCGAGGCTCCCACATCTACAGGTCCTTTGTGAGGCAGAGAGTGAGCCTGGTCAGGGCAAAAGTGGTGGAGGGGAGAAAAGTGGCACTTACTGCAGTAGCCTGCACTACGGTTTTGCCAGCTGAAGTTTATTCTTACGTATGTGCCTAAAGGTGTGGGTATGTGTGCCTGTGTATTCTATTCACTGCTGTCTGACAAGCATGATTGACCTTGTGCTAGACTGTGGTAGAAGCACAACAATTACTCTGACGTATTAAAAGTGCATAAACTAGCCCCGGCCGGTGTGGCTCAACTGGTCGTCCCATACACCAGACGGCTGGGGCTTCCAGTCCCGTCCAGGGGACACACCTAGACTGTGGACGGGATCCCTGGCTGGGGCGTATACCAGAGGCAACCGAACGATGTTTCTCTCTCTTTCTCCCTTCATCTCTCTATAAAATTAATAAACATATTTTTTAAGTACATAAATGAGGAAATTCACATGAAAGCCACTAAATTAGCACAAACTATTAAGCATTAAGGACAGTTTCTGGCCCTGGCCAGTGCGGATCAGTTGGTTGGAGTCCTGTCCCCTACCCCGAAATCCCAGGGGTTCAGTTCCTGGTCAGGGCACGTCCCTAGGCTGCAGGTTCAGTTCCTGGTCAGGGTGTGCATGGAAGACAACCAACCAGTGTTTCTCATATCAGTGTTTCTCTCTCTTTCTCTCTAAAATCAATAAACATACTTCAAAAACTTTTTTAAAAAGAATAGTTCCTGATGTCCAATAGTTTGTAAATATGTTGCTGCTATAAAATACTGACAGAATTCTACAAAACAACGCAATGAAGTCAGTGACCGGCAGACAGTTAAGCGTCACAGGAGGAACTGGAGGGGAGAGAAATGACCAGGCCGGGAGAATGAAGTGGTTTCACGGAGACAGACCCTGAAGACCGGCTGTGAACTACGCATTTACCCGTGTGCACAGCAGTGTGCACGCAGACCCTGGGCAGCCAGGGACTCATCGTGACCTGCTAACCTGAAGGATTTTGGGCAGGATGGTGTTCTTCCTGAGCGAATTGATCCGTAGCCTCTCGTCTGCATACTCGTAGGCCATTTTCCGTCTCTTCACATCACGCAGCATTCTCCAGTCTACGTAGTAACCTCGAACCTGACCGGAGGCGGATGCAGGGACCATCTGAAAGAGACGAGGAGCAACCGAAGGACACTCAGACGGGCTCTCCCGGCGTCCCCACCCTGCAGCCCCTTGCAGGCACTGCTTGTGACCAACTATTTTTTGTAGTAATTTGGAATCACTTAAATAACTTTAAATAACAGATATCTTCACTCCAAACAAATAACTTTTGGAGATGTACATTAAGCCAAAATGGTGGCAACTAATACAATGCCAGTAGTGTGTGCACTGGAAGGTGGAATATTTTCTGAGATTTTTAATGTAATTGTTTGATCTTTACTCTATAGTTATATGGTTCAACATTTTAAAAAAGCATGAAAAGAGCCCTGGCTGGTGTGGCTCAGTGCCCTGAACACCAGACTGCGAACCAAAGGGTCACTGGTTCGATTCCCAGTCAGGGCACATGCCTGGGTTGCAGGCCAGGGCCCCAGTAGGGGGTGCTCAAGAGGCAACCACACACTGATGTTTCCCTCTTGTTCTCCCTCCCTTCCCCTCTCTAAAAATAAATAAATAAAATCTTTACCAAAAAAAGCAGTAAAAAAAGGATGAAAAAACGTACGGTGGAGTCTCCCTCCCACCTCACCCCTCACCTGCTCAGTGACCACCCCCAGCCTCCAAAGGTATCCACTGTTACTAGTCTCTCCCAAAACTCTTGTCTATACAGATAGATGCATACCTTCTCTCTCCCGTGTCCCATCCCGTCCCTTCCCCCTTTGTCTGCGTTTAACAATGTATCTTGGGGATCTTCCCATACCCAAGCGCCTTCTGATCTCCTCCACTCTGTGCATGCGCCAGGGTTGAGACATGCTGCCTCAGAATGTGGCGCTTTAGCGTACTGATCTTTGAAGCAAAAGACATGTGAACAATGCCAAGTGCACAAGGGCCTCTCTGACCTTCCCCTGAAGCCAGAAGACCCTCTCATGAAGGAGGTATGTTGGGGAGGGGGTGAAGAGCACCCTCACCTATGAACTGAGAGCCATCTGAACAGAGAGGCCTTGCTGTTCTCCTAGTCCACACTTAGCTCGTACCCTTCGTCCTGTGACACGTCGCCTCGACTCCCCACTCTGCACCAAACCCAGCACAAAACCACTCGGGTTGGACCGTTTCTTTAGGTCTTCAATTCCTTATGGAGGCTCCCGTGTCAGGTAAAACTTACACATTTGTATGCTTTTCTCTTGTTAATCTGTCTTTTGTTAGGGGCCCCCGCTGAGAACTAAGGGTCAGAAGCCTTCAGGGAAATTATATTTTTTTTCTCCCCGCAGATGCATCATAATTTATTTAACCTGTGACCTATTATTGGCCAGCTAGACCACATTTCACCATTTATCACTGCCAGGGAATGCTGCAGGGAAAAACCTCCTATACAGATCATTTCATGTGTGATCCTATATATCAGCAGGGTAAATTCTTGGAAGCAGAACTGCAGGGTCAAAGGGTACTTTGAAATGATCACTGACCTAATATCTCTTAGCATGAGCTGTCCAGAAACGACCCAACAGGCTCCTTATTTATCACCTGTTTACATGGTGATCGTCTACATTTCTGACCGACAGGACAGGCATAGAGTACAGGCCACAAAAAACTCAAATATCTCCCAAACCAGAGCAAACAGTACAGCTAATTAAGCTGCAGCTACAGAAAATGATGATGGCTTCCTGTAACAGCTGTTTACAGAAGAAATACATGAGGTCTGTCCAGAAAAAGTCCAGCCATTGTTAATGTAACAACGGTTTTACGTGACATCGATGGAACCTGGCAGCCAAGGCGAGGGGACTGGAATGCGCATGCGTGAACAATGACAACTTCACTGTACTAGTCGGTGGGGGCGGTAGACACAGCTGAGTGAGCATGTGTACTGTGTGGCATTGCGTTCAAAATAAGTGAGTACAGCAACAAATCTGGATCAAATTCTGCACTAAGCATGAACATTCCTCCACGGAAACTATTCAGATGACTCAGAAGGCCCCAGCTATGGGCACCTGGTGACTGGCAGCTTCGTCACGACAGTGCACCCACTCATGCTATCACGTCTCGTGCAGAGATTTTTGGTGAAACACCAAATCACCCAGTGACTCAGCCCCCAACAGCCCAGATTTGGAGCACTGTGACTTTTCTAAAACTAAAATCACCCTGAAAAGGAAAAAATTTCAGACTATTGATGGGATTCAGGAAAATACGATGGGGTAGCTGATGGCGACTGGGGAGGTCCCAAGATGCCTACTTTGAAGAGGACTGAGGTACTGTCCTATGTACAGTGTGTCTTGTGTCTTCTTCAATAAATGTCTCTTCTTCCTATTACATGGCTGGATACCTTCTGGACAGGCCTTGTATATACAGCATTATACAGAATATAAAACTGAAAATGAGAATACTATTCTAGAAAGCCAACAGTTTTCCAGTCTATTCACAGAAGAAAACTCAGTATTTTCAATGCTAAAGTCCCAGGGGAAATACAACAAATCTATAATTGCCTTTTGGAAATGAGGCGGCTGACTGGACGTTCAGTACTGGTTTGACACGTGACTGGGTCGAATAAACACTGTGGCCCCTGTGGCTGGAAATAGGGGGGCTTCGTGAAGGCTTTGAAGGGCTTGCAGAATTTTAATTTTTCTTTTTATCCTCACCCAAGCAAATTTTTTTCATTGCTTGTAGACAGAGAGAGAGGGAGGGAGAAGCATTGATTAGTTGCCCATCATAAATGCCCAGATGGGGGATCAAACCCACAACCTTTGAATTACTAGGGGATGCCCCAGCCCACAAGCCACACCCGCCAGGGCTGAGCTGACAGAATTTTGATACGGTTACGGGTTGGGGAAGGGGAGAGAAGGTGAAGCTTGTCCAAACCAGATGAGATGAGAAGGACATATTCACGAAGACCAGGTGTGATCGTTCCGGCTAAAAGGATCCAGGATGAGGGGCGAGGCAAGGTCTGCTCTTACCTTTTCCAGGGAGGTGGAGAAAACAGAATTCGACAGTTTGTCCTTCCATTCTTTTTCAAACTATTTCTAACCAACTTCCTCTCTACCATTTCCTATCAGGTTTCTATTTATTAAAAAAAAACTTTCATTCTTTATATAACTTTTTTCTGACTATAAAAGTAATACACTTTTTAAAAATGTATTAGTCTATATTCTGTGGGTGTTTTATGTCCATTGCCCACATTTACATTGTATTTCCTTACCAGTTATAGAAGTGCTCTATAGATTAAGATCGCCTCTGTTCTGTTCTGCCCACGCCTGTTCTGCCCCGTCTCACTCCTCTTCACCTCCTACAACTCGTCCGCTGGGCCCTCTCCAACTAACGGGCTACCGCCACCTAAACCTCAATCCTCAGTTTCTCCTCTTAACAACTCCTTCAGATGTCTGCTCTGAGTCTTGAATTCCTCTGGATAGCTCCCTCTGTAGTTCTTTCTCCTCCCTCCACTGGGGGAGAAAAATTAACTTCATCTTTTAAAACTTTTTAAATGTGCTACTAGAAAACTTTAAGTTCCATATGTGGTGGGCATTGTATTTCTGCTGGACAAGGCTACAACAGAAGAAGGGAAGGTCCACATTCCTGAAATCAAACATCACACCTGAGACCCATCACCTCTGGCCTACACAGGGGTACAGGGCCAGCGGGTCTCGCTTTTTTTTTTCTTTTTTTGCCACTCGACAGGATCTTGCCCTTTACCACAAAAACACGGAGTTGCTTCTGTCATGTTAAAAACACACAAAATACCCACTCTTAACTCATCATTCCTCCAGCTATTGAACCAGTTTTCTGCCCCTCTCGGCAGCAAAACCTCTTCGGAGGCTTGTTTCCACCCCCTGGTGTCCGATTTCTTTCCTCCCGTTCTCTCCGGAACGCTGTCGCCCAGCCACCTCCACACGCCCAGCCACCTCCACACGCCACACCGAGGGCCCGTTCTCAGCGCCCCTCTAAGGGACCTGTCAGCCTCGAGCGGTCTACCACCCCCCGCTCCTCGACACTGTCGCCGCCTGCTCCCCTCCCCGGCCACACACTCCTGGGTTTGCTCCTCCCTCGCTGAGCCCCCTTCAAGTCTCCTTTGCTTATCTCTCGACGTGGGAGTCCCTGGGGCCGATCCTCGGACCCCTTCTCCTGTCCACCGACACTGCCTTGTAAACAGAAGCCAGTTTTACGGGGACGGATACCAAAGGTGCATCAGCAGCTCGGGCCTCCCCAGAATCAAGCCGGAGGAGGGAGAACCCCTGGGGAGGGTCCGCACTGGGTTCTACAGGTGGCAGAGCAGGGGGCGGGGGGCGCGAGTTTGGAGGTTCCGGAGGGAAGGGGAGGAGGAGGAGTTAAGGCGCGGGCCTGACCTGCCGGACGCTCCGCAGCAGCCAGCCTAGCATGGAGGCCGCCATGTTGTCCGCCGCAAAGTCAAACGCTGCAACTTTATTGACTCTGCCCAATACAGAGACGCCCGCGGGGCGGGGCCTGGGCCGCAGGGGCGGGGCGGGGCGGGGGCGGGGCTCCAGCCTATACCGGAAGGAGGAGTTATTTATTGGACGTGCGTTCTCGTGGTGGTTAACGGAACTCGGACAAATTTCAAAGCTGGGAGCGCAGCTTTGATACTGATGGGCAGTCTGGCGCTCCTTGCTCGCCGCTCCCTTCCCTCTGGCTTTCCCTGCCCGCTAAGGCTACCTGCGTCCCTACCTAGCCCCTTCCTCCGCCCCCCCCCCACCCAGGTGGTCGTGGCCAAAGTCTCTGCCCCCTAAGTCCTCCTCCGTCTTACTCAACCTGTTCCTCCCTTTAGGTTCTCCGTGCAGTTCGGGGTATACTTGCCAGACACCGACAGTTATTGTCAATCCCCTCTATCATCCCGCTGTAGATGTTGCAAATCAGCTTCCTGCCTCAGTGCTGATAATGATCGCGTTGATGGTGGCGATGATACAGTTCCCATTTATGTCTATTGTGTACACAAACACGTATTCTGTATTGGAAGGGGGGCATTGCCGTTTAAAAGCTGCCGATTCAGTCTGCAGTGCAGGGAACTTTCAGGTCATCTTACCCATTTTTAAGTGTTCGGTTCCAGTGGTATTAAGGACATTCACACTGTGTTACAGCTGAAACCTCCACCCATCTCTTTATTTCCCAAACCCAAACTAGGTGCCCACTGGGCGAGGGCTTCCCATTGTCCAGCACCCCGGCCCTGGCGCGACCGCTCGGCTTCGGTCTCGTGAATTGGACTCCTCTTCGTAGCTCGTATAGGTGGAATCACACACCTGTTTTTTGATGCCTGGCTTCTTTCACTGAATGTGTCTTTGATCTTCATTGAAGTGGTAGCGTGTGTCAGTGCTTCGCTCCTCCTCGTGGCTGAATAATAAATACCCTGTTGTATGGACATACCATCAGCTCTTTATCCCTTCATCTGTAGGTGGACATTGGCTTTTCGTCTACCTTTTGACTATTGTGAATAAGGCTACAGTGAACACGTGTGTTCCATACCTTAAACAGCATTGTGATCTTATTAGGCTGTTTTTCACTGTAAGAGAAGAGATCAAAGCATTTTAATGGCTGGTAAGATAGGAGCTCAGAGACAGTGAGATAAGACTCCAGGTCTTCTTTGATTAATTGCGTTGGTTTTGTGAAACAGCCTAAGATCTTTCCCCCCGTGCACCTTCTCCCACTAAGTGTGGGAAGCTTGGCAAGGCCAAAAGGAGGCTCGCTTTACCTTGAGTTCTCCCAAGGGGTCTCGAGTTCCCTGGCCTTTTGACAGAGTGTAGGCAAGGCTGTTGGGCTTACTGTCCCTGAATTCCAGGATCAAGAGGACCATCATCCTTCATTCATTTATTCGATCGACAAATTCATTTTAAGTGCCTGTTGTATGCCACTGTGTGTGTGTGTCTCTGTGAGACGGAGTGACAGAAGAAAACGTCTCTGCCATTCTGACGCTTCAGTTCAGCTGGAGACTGTAGAGTCAGACAGAGGTGGAAGCACCCGCCACCCGCCGTTGTGTGGCCTTTGCTTTTTCCACTTCGTCTCAGCTTTGGAGGCTGAAAAGGTATCTTGGGGTGAACAGAGTAAAGTTTAAGAGTCAAATTGTCTTGAGATGTGATTGTGAGAGACTGCTCTACCACCATCTAGAATCACAATGTTGAGTCCCGGCCCAATAAGATAGTAAAAACGATTGTACAGGTGGTGAAGGTGAGGCCGAGAGAGGTCGGGTGACCTGCCCAACTCACAGAGCCCGTCCCGTGCTGCGGCCCCTTCTGCTCGTCCCCACCCACACCGTCCCCTGGAGGAACGCTGGCTCAACGACACAGCCCCGTCTGTCATGGCGTCCTTTCTTATGAAACTTGTCAGTTGCTTAAGGTGTAGATTTTGTTTCAATTCAGTCAATACCCCAATGCAATTTTTCTTAACAAAAGTAATTTTAAAAATATATATGAGAGAAATGGGAGGGAGGTAGAAAGCTCTGAAATTTTTGAAAAAGAAGAATAACAGTATTTTTGCCCTACTAGTTATTAAGAGGCCATATGCCATTATGCAGGACGAACTGGTTCGGTCCTGGTGCCGAGGCCAGCAGACGGTGCAGGAACTGGAACAGACGTGCCAGAAAAATACTGTCAGTGTAATTACAACTTGGATTTTATAAAAGGAAGCAGAACAATTGTTGCACAAGTGTTATTGGAACAACTGTTTAGAGATTTGGGAAAAATGTTTTAGTTATATTTTTACCTTTTACTGCTTATCAAAATAAATTTTAGGTAAATGAAAGAGTTAAGTGCTAACAAACCTTACGAAGAAGGAACTATAGATGATTATGTGTTTAAACTTCAGAGTCACGCATAGAATATTTGCCCGGTACGCACCGGCCCTTGGAGTCCCTGCCCTGCCCGGGCTGGCTCAGGACCTGACCACCCTCCCCGCTGGGCCCCCCACCCCATGCTCCCCTCACGGTGGTCCAGCACGGGCCCCAGGGCCAGGCCCCCTGCCAATGGAGCGGGATGAGGGGCTGGACTCAAAGGCACCAGCCTGGAGCAGCGCTGGGTGGTCCAGGGGTGGGGGCGGCTGTGGGAGGCACTACAGACAGGAGGACAATGAGATTGACAGGAAAGTGTGTGCTGTGGAAGGGCACGGACACACGCACAAGCATTTCAGCCTTGCTCTGAGATGGTGTGCGTGGACAGCCTGCCTGCCTTAAACACCGCCAGCTGAACAGAACCCTCTTGGTGCACCAGCGAGGGCCTGGAGTAGGGGTGGCCTTTGCACCTACTTCTGGTAGCAGCCCCAAGTGCCTCCCTACCACCTGGGGAGTCTCCTCCTGGAGCTCTGTGCTGTGCAGGAGTTGGACACAAGGTGGCAGTGGTAGCACACTTGAGCTCTGGAAACACAGATGCGCGCACACCCGCCCCTGTCCTCTAGATAAGATGATGGCACGTTGACACATTCCATCCTTCAGGCAGGACCTGTGTCTGAGTCTGCCTTCTTTACAGGAGCCGTAGGCAAGACGGGCTGCCCGGTTTGTAGGCCCAGTGCAAAATGCAAATGTAGGACCCCTTGTTTGAAAATCAGGAGAAAGTTCCTGTTGAGAATGGTGAAATACAGAGCTGAGCTTAGGGGCAGCGAGGCAGGCCCCTCTCAGCCCTCGCTGGGCGGCTTCTCTGAGGTGACACGGACAGCTGAGGAACCAGGGGCCTGCCGGCCGCTCACACATGCACGGCTGCCTAGTGCGGGGCGGTGGACGCCCGAGGGACCCCCCCGGAACCAGTGGGGGACGGAAGGGCTCCTCCAGGGTCTCAGAGATGTGGCGTCACTGATGTAGGACCGCATGCTCCATCGCTCTGGCCCCACTCTGGCCCCGCCCCGCTCCCTGCCTCCTGCTCCCTGGGGCCCTTGCCCACGTCTCCTCCTTGCACACCAACCTCTGTCGTGGGTTCTGCTCTGCGGCTGGTGGGGGCGGTGTGTGTGTGTGGGGGGGGTGCTCAGGCTAAGACAAACACACCCAGCCAACAGGTCATCCAGAGGGTGTTGCTGAGTCTGCTTCTCGCTGTCTCTCTCACTGTCTCCAGTCCTCCCCCTGCTCCTCCAGGTCAGACCTGCTTCATCTTTTGGGCTCCTTATTGCTCTCCTTGCGTCCATTTTTAAAAACTCAACCCATCCCCTTCCCCCAAAACACACCCGCCCTTTTCTGTGGCCAGAGCGAGCTTTCTCAGACACGAACTGCTCCCTTTGGGGAGCTCCCCGTCGTCTGCAGAATAACGTTCTCTGCAGCGCCATTCCCCTCGTGGCCCCGGGGCCCCGCCTGCCCTCAGGGTTGCCCCTCCCCCTTCCGTCCTCCTGCCTTTATCTCAGGCGCCCGCCCCGTCCAGTTCCAGTTCGGTTTGGCTCGCCAGTGCTCGACTGAACACCCGGCGCACAGTAGCTTCTGCCCTCCGAGGGGTGAGGGGCAGGTGGGCGGGCGAGGAGACGCTGCGAATGCCCGGGCTGGGCGGCGCTCGCGTGTCACCAGAGTCCCGGGCAGATCAAGGCTTTCAGCTCGTCCACCTCGGCTGAGGGGCCTGAAGATATTTTTTCAGCAGGCCGAACCAGGGTGGGGTTTTGGGAGGGAGACAGGACATTTTTCTCCTGCAGAATGCGAGATCTTGCAGAAAACTAAGGTTCTGAGTGGGGGAAATATCTGAAACGCCCTTTTATCTCTGCATGAATCCTAAAGACGGATGTCTAAATAAAGGTAACACGGTTGGTGTTTTGCACGTCTTAGATTAGTAGTGGTGGGTATGTTACTCAAACACACAAGGTTACATCGTCTTCCCAGCGGTTTCCAGGAGACGCTTGCATGTTTGGTTGTGATTTGTCACAGATACTACGCATGCAAAGAGGGTTTTCTTTTCTGCGTCTCATTTTCCATCCTCATGTGCAGCGTCTTCCTGGCCCGAGGGCTGGGAAACTCCGTCCCCCTCTCTGCTCCTTTCCTCGCCGGCCTCCTGCCCTGTGTGTGTGTGTGTGTGTGTGTGTGTGTGTGTGTGTGTGTCCTTGTGCTTTCCTCCGCCTCCTGTAAGAACACTGTCCCCTGAATTTCGGCTGTTCCAACCCAGTGCGGTCCCCTCCCGGTCCTCGCGCTGCTACAGCTGCGAAGACCCTGCTCTCCAATAAGTCACATTCCGATGCGGCAGGGGAGTGCTGACATTCTTTGGCGCACTGCTCGCGTACTTGAACTTTGTCGAGACTGCCACGCCAGCCCCTCCGCTCCTCAGGGCGCCCACTCTGCCTCCCCTGCTCTTCCCACCTCCCGGCTGCTCCCCTCCTCCCGTCTGACTCCGCCAGGAGTGACTCCCACTGTGCGCTCAGGACGCGGCCCTGCTGGCTTCCGGAGAGGCAGACAAGGGCGAGCTTGCACAAGCCTGTCAGGGCCTCCCCTCGAGGCAGGCCGGAGTCAGGGTGGACGGGCGCACGCACA